TGTTTTTTTCTAGTCTCTATTTAGTTTATTTCTGTTGTAATCTTTATTTTTTTCATTCCTGCTGTATCTTTGGGTTTAGCCTGTTCTAGCTCCTTGAGATATAAAATTATGTTGTTGACCTGAGATATCTCTTCTTTTTTATTTTTATTTTATTATTATTATTTTTTAAATATTTATTTATTTGCTGTATCAGGTCTTAGTTGCGGTGCGTGGGCTCTAGAGTACCCAGGCTCATTAGGTGAGGCATGGGCTTAGTTGTCCTGCAGCATGTGGGATCTCAGTTCCCTGACCAGGGTTCGAACTGGCATTCCCTGCATTGCAAGACTGATTCTTAACCACCAGACCACCAGGGAAGTCCCCTCTTCTTTTTTAATGAAGGCATTTACCACTAGATATTTCCCTCTTAATAATGCTTTTCCTGCATCCTATGATTTTTGGTATATTCTGGGGATGCATCTTCTCTGGGCCTAGGCACATAATTTCCCAGTTAGAGCTTTGCCAGTTTCTTTTTCAGGAGTTTATAATCTCTTCCTCCCTCTAGTGTTTATCTGTGGTACCACAGGTTCTCTGATGCTGCAACAAGCCACTAAGCTCTTTTGTTCTCTCCAGCCCCCCAGGCATCCAAAGTATGCTGGTTCTGTTACGGCCTCAAGTCAGGGGAGACGGAAACTAATCTCTAGGGTAGCCCCTTTAAAAGTTGTAACATGGTATGCACATTCCACTCTTCTCCCCACCCCCACCCCGAAAGAGAAGTTGTGAGTTGGGTACTTTGTCCTAATCATGCTGACCTGAGCCATCCTGTCTGTGGCACTGCCAGTTTTCTGTTGCTGCAAAGAGCAGCTGAGCTCTATTTAACTCTCCATGGTCTCCAGAAATTGAAAGTATGCCAATTCCCTGTCAGTGGTCAGAGTCAGGAAGGACAGATAGCAGTCCCTCAGGTAGCCCCCCAAAAGTTAGAACACTAGACACTTTCCAGTCTTTCCCTCCCAAGGGAGATACTTCCAGCTGGACTTTTCCTCCCAATCCTCCCAAGCCAGGCCAGCTTAAGGGAGGGGCTACTGTGGTTGACATGAAATGGCTTTCTTACCCGTTTTGATATGGCTATGCTTGACTTTGAGTTTGCCGGGGTATTGTGACTTTGTAATTGATTTCTGAAGTCCCATAAAGTTCTTTGGGTCATACACTAGTTTTAAGTTAGTGTCTCTGTGGAGGAACAGGACTAGGGCTTCCTATTCTATCTTGCTGACATCACTCCTAAAGAATTTTTTAAATGTTTATTATTTATTCAGTTTTCCTCTTTTGGTAATGACCTGCTTATATAGCTTGTCCATTTACATACTGGAGTCTTTGCCTCTTTATGAGTGATTTCCAGGAGGCATTTCTATAGTTTGCATACTAGTCCTTTGTCTATTTTACAGGTTGTAAATATCTTCTACGTCTGGCTGCCCTTTTCTACTTGTTAACAGCTTTTTGTTTTTGTTTTTATTTATTTTTAGCTGAATTTTAAGAAATCAACTTTACCTATATTGGGAGTTTGGTGTGGGGTGTATGTACACACTGCATCTTATTGATTTTTGAAGTCCCCTTCAGTAATTTTTAATTCTATTATTTAAAAGATCCATTATTCAACATTCACCTCAAGGCTAAATCGAAGTCTTTACCTGACATGTAAGATGGTAAGTGCTTTCCATGCACCCTACAGGCTCTTCTTATTACTTTTTAAGGTATATTTTATATACCACAAAACGCACCTATTTGAAATGTACAATTCAAAGATTTTTAACAAATTACTGACTTGGACAACCATCATCATCACCGTCACCATCCACTTTCAGGACATTTCCATCACCCCAAGATCTTTTGTACGCATCTGCAGGAAACCCCTGTATCTACCTCTAGTCCCAGGTAACAACTAATCTACTTTCTGTCACTATAGTATGATTTGTCTATTCTGGACATTCTATAAGCATGGAATCATACAATATGTGGTCTTTTATGACTGGCTTCTTTCACTAAGCATTATGGTTTTTTTTCTGCTGTACGCGGGTCTCTCTCTGTTGTGGCCTCTCCCGTTGCGGAGCACAGGCTCCGGACGCGCAGGCTCAGTGGCCACGGCTCACGGGCCCAACCGCTCCGCGGCATGTGGGATCTTCCCGGACCGGGGCACGAACCCGTGTCCCCTGCATCGGCAGGCAGACTCTCAACCACTGCGCCACCAGGGAAGCCCTAAGCATTATGTTTTTGAAGTTCACACATATTATAGCATGAATCAGGAGGTTGTTCCTTTATTACTGAGCAATAGTATTCTATTGTATAGACATACTATATTTTATCCATTCAATACTATATTTTGTTTATCCATTCATGAGTTGATGGATATTTGGGTTGCTTCCATTTTTTGTCTACTATGAATAATGCCACTTTGAACATTCATATACAAGCATTTGTGTGCTTATTAGCCATATATATATATATTTTTGGTGACATGTATTCCAATCTTTTGCGTATTTCATAACAGGGTCATTTGTCTTATTACTGGGACCTTTGTATATTCTGGGTATGAGCCCTTTATCAGATGTATGATTTGAAAATACTTTCTCACAGTCTATGACCTGTCTTTTCATTTTTTAAACAGTGGTAAAAGATAATTTTTTATTTGTTTATGCATTCACTTGCAGATGGTCCTTTGGATTGTTTCTGGTTTTGAACTATTACAAATAAAGCAGCTATGAATATATAAAATATTTGTTAATACTTACATTTTCATTTGTCATGACAATACTCAAGAGTGGAATTGGTGGGCTCAGTGGTAAGTGTATGTTTAACTTTATAATAAACCGCCACACTGTTTACCAAAGTAGTCACCCCACTTCACATTCTTAAAAGCAGTGTCTGAGAAATCCAGTAGTTCCATATCCTTTCCAACACATGCTAATGTGAGTGCTCTAAATTTTAGTCATTTGAGGGAGTGTATAGTGGTATCACATTTGGTTTTTTTCTTGTTTAATTTTTTTTTATTCTGGTAAAACACACATAATAGTTATCAATTTAACCATTTATAAGTGGTAACCATTCCATGGTATTAAATACATTCACCTTCTGTCACCACCGTCTATACCCAGAGTTTTAATCATCCCCAACATTAACTATGTACCTATGAAACAATAATTCCATTTCCTCAAGCCCCTGATAACCTCTATTCTGTTTCCTACCTCTATAACTTTGATTATTCTAGGTACCTTATACAAGTGGAATCATATAATATTTGTCCTTCTGTGGCTGGCTTATTTCACAAAGCATGATGTTTCCAAGGTCCACCCACGTTCTTGCATACGTAAAAGTTTTTTTCCTTTTTATGGCTGAATAGTATTCTTTTATATTTATATACCATATTTTGTTTATCTGTTCACCTGTTGATGGGCACTTGGTTGTTTCCACCTTTTGGCTATTGTGAACAATGCTGCTATGAACATTGGTTTACAGGTATCTGTTCAAATCCCTGCTTTCAATTTTTTGGAATATATAACAAAGAGTGGAATTGCTAGGACTTATGGAAATTCTATGCTTAACTTTTTGAGGAACTGCCAAACTGTTTTCCACAAGGGCTGCACCACTTTACACTCTCATCAGCTATGTATAAGGGTTCTACTTACTCCACATCCTTGCCAACATTTGTCATTTTCCATTTTGTTTGTTCGTTTTTTAAATTATAGCCATCCTACTAGGTATGTTGTGGTATACCACTGTGATTTTAATTTGCATTTCCATAATTGGTAATTTTAAGCATTTTTTAATGTCCTTATTGGATAGCTGTACATCTTTGGAGGAGTGTCTAGTCAAGTCTCTTACCCTTTTTTTTTTTTTTTTTTTTTTTTTTGCGGTACGTGGGCCTCTCACTGTTGTGTCGTCTCCCATTGCGGAGCACAGGCTCTGGACGCGCAGGCTCAGCGGCCACGGCTCACGGGCCCAGCCGCTCCGCAGCATGTGGGATCTTCCCGGACCAGGCGCAAACCCGTGTCCCCTGCATCGGCAGGCGGACTCTCAACCACTGCGCCACCAGGGAAGCCCTCTTACCCATATTTGAACTGAGTTTTTTCTTGTTGTTGAGGTTTAGGAGTTCTTTTTATAGTCTGGATATTAGTCCCTTATCAGATATATCATTCCCAAATGTTTTCACTCACTTACTAGGTGTTGGCTTAATATTAATGAAATCCAATTTATCTACTTTTGCTTTGTTTCTTGTGCTTTTGGTGTCATATTCCAAAAATCCCTGCCAAATCTAATGTCATGAAGATTTTCTCCAGTGTTTTCATCTAAGAGTTTTATAGTTTATTTTAAGGGGTTAAATGCAAAGGATTCCTAAAGGCTGAGGGCAAAGACCATTTCTGATAGAGCTTTAATTTCCAATAGCTTTACAAAAAAAATGTCACAAATTTCTTTGGCCCCCAGATTCTCTTAATGAGTTGTTAAAAATGAAATGCTCACCAATAAAAACAACTTTGAATTCCTTCATATAGTGAAGAAACATTTTGTAATATGATTAATTGTCTTTAAATTTGTCTGAATCTGTTTGATTTGTTTAGTCTAGATTTTGGAATATTATGTTTCTTAAAATAGGTTATTTGTGTACATCAAATATCTATTGCCTTGTAAATATTCTGATCGTGTATGTGTGTGTCTGAACGATACACACTCACACTGAGCTGCACACTTCTTCCTTTTGTGTTCCATACTGCATATGTGGGGCTTTTTACTCAATGGGTGCCCAAGAGTCACTGCATGATCTACTTACTGACCTGAGAGTTGAGAGAATAGTAATTAAAAAAAGAAAATTTGTAAAACTTACTAATTTGCCATGTATCCCCTGAAAATAATCTCTCCACATACAATACAACCATAACTATGAACATGCATTTCCTAAGAATTATAAAATTTTTCTCTTATAACCAAACTGATACATTTTGAAATTTAAGAATAGGGATGTTTAGTTTAACACCTACCGCCTTTGAGTGTTAAATCCATTAAGATGATTCTCTCTGAGTTCAGACACTAATGATAAAACCATCTGTAAAACAAAATCAGTTTCAGGTTAACTCACGCTGCAAACAGGATTACATCAGTTCTATTTTTCTTGATGTGAGTGATATTTCCGTTGAGATTCCCTACTCTCTTTCCCCACCAATCCTTTCCTGTCTTACTTTGTCAAAGCAGTGCCGAGTCACATTTACTAATAACTTGGATTTTATGTTTAATGTCTGTTACTCCATATTCTGATGTAAGCAAATGAATAATAGACAAGTCATTAATTTCCCCCAAATTAAAACCAAGCCTGTTAAAAATAAAACCATGTTAGAGTTAGCTTACTTTTTTTCTTTCTTAACTTAGTTCTTTATTTTTTTTAAATGCTATTCATGTATAAAGCTTCCAAAAGACAGGAATAGTTAATAAACATTAAAAATCTCATAACATTTTTTAGAAGAGCTATGTTAAGACCATAAGTTAAAATTTCTTGAATTTGGTTAAAATTTAAGGTAGACAAAATCACAGCTTTAATACTAAGATGTAAATGTATAATACTATTTACAAGATTGTTATTATTGAATATTCTGCTTTAACATAAAATTCCTATCAGGTTATTTTTAAATACGAAATTTATCCAACAGTAAAAGGCTGTGTTTATATTGGTTAAGGAAATCTTTTCTCCCAAAAATCTTTGAGAGTATAAATGAGATGTATGTGTTAAGGGACAGAGAGGTTGGTTGATTTAGAATAACCTCTCCTGGTTTCCTTCTTCTTTCTCATAATCTCCCATCTCACATTTTTTCCTTACATGGTCATAAGTCCACCCAAGGTAAGAAGAGATAAACATAGAAAAGTTAAACATCTCTCCTGGAGGACTGAAATATTTCCATTTACCTTTTTTTCAGATGGTACATTAAGCAATGAAAATTTCAATACTAATAAATTAAAAATACTCACATTTTTAAGTAAACCAGGATAGTAATCTGTGGGTGCATACCCAAGAACTTGAGTAAAAAGATCAACTTCTTTTATATTAAATCTGAATGTGGAAAGTATATGAGATAACAACCCCTAAAAAACATAAACAGAAAGAGAAAAAGGTCTTAAAAATGAATGTAAGTCCCCATTATATATAATGCCTAGAATCTGGGTCATTTGCAAATGGGGTGGTCTCTATGAAACAAATAATCTTAATTTGTCCAAATAACTCAGGTCACTTTGATTCAGGTATAAAGAAGAAATAAGTTAGTGATAAAATTATTACATTAAGTAAATTTAAACAAATACTAAGTGAAAAAAATGTATAACTAATGAACAGTGCTTTAACCATATTAAAAATGTGATCTTTACTCTTTTCAAACTCAGTAAAATATTTTTATCAGAGTAGAGATGATAATTTAATACACAACAAGGAATGCACCACAAATCACAAAGGAAAGATTATGCAATAAATGGTGCTAGGAAAACTATTTGAAAAAAATTAGATTCTCACCTTACGTTATTTATTAAAATATACTTGAATTTACTGTAAATTAAAGAGATCAATGTAAAACTGAAATAAAATAATAAACAAGAAGAAAATACAAGTACTTTTCACGTGTCTGAATGGGGAAGAACTTTGTAAACTGAAAATCAAGGAAGCAAATCACTGATCGTTCTAAATTAAAAAACAAAAAAACTTGTGTTTTCCAATAAATAATATAAGCACAAAACTATGAAGAATATTAACAACAAATAATACAGACATATGTAATCAAATCAGTGTGCAAAATACCATATGACAAATACTAAGAGCATAAAAAAGGAGTATGAACAGATAATTTCTAAAACAAAACACAAATGTCCAAGAAACACATGGATAAATGTTCAGCCTCATAATCAAAAAGGCAAATTTAAATATCAGCATAACATTTTCCATTAAATGAATTAAAGAGTTTTAAAGACATGAATACCTAATGCTAATCTGGGTTCTCTGAAACAGGTACTCTGTGTGAGCTATTGGAAAAATACAAATGGGATCCACACATCACTGCTATTGTGAACTGCACGAAGGCACCTATAGAGTGTAAGCAAGTATAACACAAACCATACCCACCCCCATGCTTGGACTGCCAGGGCTATGTCTGCCTAGATGTTTGTAACATGAAGACACCTTATAGGTTGGTAGAGGCCTACTTTATAGAAAACAACTTGAGAATGTACATTAAAGGTTTTAAAAGCATTCAGAGCTTTTAACATACATTTAAGGAAATAAATCCAAATATCATGATGGGGATTATGCTCAAAGATGTTCACTACAGTGTTATTTCTCATAGTAAAAAATGTCTAACAGCAGGGAATGATTAATTTATAATACCCTCAATACCATGGCTCACTGTAAGCCATTAAAATGCTTATAAAGAATTTATGACAGCATCTTAAATGGTTATAATGTTAAATGAAGAAAGGAAGATGCAAAATTGTATATACAGAAATGATTTTATCAATATAAAAACAATCCAGGGGCTTCCCTGGTGGCGCAGTGGTTGAGAGTCCGCCTGCCGATGCAGGGAACACGGGTTCGTGCCCCTGTCCGGGAAGATCCCACATGCCGCGGAGCAGCTGGGCCCATAAGCCATGGCCACTGTGCCTGCGCGTCTGGAGCCCGTGCTCCGCAATGGGAGAGGCCACAACAGTGAGAGGCCCGCGTACCGCAAAAAAAATAATAAAAAGAAAAAAAGAAAAAGAAAAACAACCCTGTACCTTAATACTCAGTGTTGGCAAAGATGTGGTAAGGGGCACTCCATTGCTGTTGGATACACAATTTTTTTAAAAAATAAATAAATTTATTATTTATTTATTTTTGGCTGTGTTGGGTCTTCGTTGCTGCGCATGGGTTTTCTCTAGTTGCGACAAGTGGGGGCTACTTTTCTGTTGTGGTGGGCTGCCTTCTCATTGAGGTGGCTTCTCTTGTTGCGGTGCACGGGCTCTAGGTGCATAGGCTTCAGTAGTTGTGGCAAACAGGCTTAGTTGCTCCAGGGCATGTGGGATCTTCCCAGACCAGGGCTCGAACCCGTGTCTCCTTAATTGGTAGGTGGATTCTTAACCACTGCGCCACCAGGGAAGTCCTGGGAGCACAAATTTGTAAGCCTTCCTGGGAAGTCACTTGATGATATGTAACCAAAGCATTAAAATTCATATCCTTTTATCCAGTAATTTGATTTCCAAAAATATATCCTAAGGAAAGATTTAGGTTCATGACAGTATTACTTATAACAGTGAAAAACTAGAAGCAACCAAAGCACCCAACAACATTGGATTGGTTGAATCCATCTTGGTTTATCCAACAGCATGAATCACATTGTAAAAAAGATATTTAATGACATAAGAAAAGACAATGTAACATTAATTTGAAAATCAAGGTGTAAAAACTGTATATTCAATGTGATATTAATTTTATATGCAAAAAAATACTAGGAAGAAACATGACAGTTAACATATTATTTCTGGGAGTGATTTAAAATTTCTTCTTTATACTACCTGTATTTCCAAAGTTTCTACAATTACCATATCTTACTTTTTATCATAAAAAAATGTTTTGTAAAATGCAATTACGCGCTTTAACTTATGTGTTTTTTCTCATAATTCCCTAATACAAATTGCTATGAAGGGACACAAGAGTTTTATCCCTGGATGAAATAAGCATAAGTCCTAGAAACAGCATATTGAGGCCTGGCTATGGTTGCATAACTTCAAAACAGACACCTTAAACTTTAGACCTACAAATCTCTCTTTTAAAGTAAACTTAAAAATTGATAAGCACTTCTCATCGCTAAGAATAATATTTCTTACTGCCACCTAGTGGCAAACATTCTAAAGAAAAAACCATGAAAGATTCTGTAGGCACTGGCGCTTGGACAAAAATTAATTCCTACAGTCACACGATAATTGACTCATTTTAAAATGCTGACAAAGCAATCTTGGAAATCTTCTACTCCAACCCCCTCATTTTACTGATGAGGAAGTGAGCTTCTAAATACATAAATCATTAGCTACAAAAAGATGTGCATGTATATGAATAGGCTCCGATTTGAAAGGCATAAAGAAAATGTGCAAATGCAACACGCTGACTAGTGATCTAAAACCCTTCAAGAGTGGAAAGTGCAGGAACCAACACAGCTGTGCATAAAACATTTTAAGCCCAATTTTGATTCATGTATGAGTTTGAACTCTGCTAATGTTTGAAAAGCCACTTAAAACTGCTTATACCAGGGGGCTTCCCTGGTGGTGCAGTGGTTGAGAATCTGCCTGCTAATGCAGGGGACACAGGTTCGAGTCCTGGTCTGGGAGGATCCCACATGCCGCAGAGCAACTAGGCCCGTGAGCCACAACTACTGAGCCTGCGCATCTGGAGCCTGTGCTCCGCAACAAGAGAGGCCGCGACAGTGAGAGGCCCGCGCACCGCAATTAAGAGTGGCCCCCGCTTGCCACAACTAGAGAAAGCCCTCGCACAGAAATGAAGACCCAACACAGCAAAAATAAATAAATTAAACTCCTACCCCCAACATCTTCTTTAAAAAAACAAACAAAAAAACAAAACAAAAAAACTGCGTATACCATGAAAGTGAACTTTTGAGAAGAAAAGTTTTAAATAAATCAGGGGAAAATCCATTTCCCTTGTTTTCAGGTGTTCTTTCTTGTCCTAGTCTCAGTGTATCTGCTCCGTCTTGTAACAGGCAGCACATTCACAGGCGGGTTAGTAAAGCTGGAGCTATGAGGCTGTGGTTTGGCACAGGGTATGGGTGTGGAAGAAGGGGGGCTGTGGTTTATACTCAGGCAAAGGGTTAGGAGAGCCAAATTGTGGTCAATACTCTTGAACTGAGACAGAGCACATATTTTATACTTCTCCAAACAATTTCTTCATCTGATCATTAAAGTCCTTTAGAATTTCCACCACTTTGGTCTCTACTACATCTATCTCTTTACACATTATATAAATAAAAACTTTGGTAAACAAGGATCCCTTATTCATTCATTCATTCATTCATCAACAAACATATATTAAGTATGATCTGCATTCAAGCCACTCTACCAGGGCTATTGTGATAAGAAGCCCCCTACAATCCGATGAAGGGAGAGAGATGGAAATATCTGTAATAGAAGACAGAATGCACTAAGTGCTATAATGAAGGGGTAAGACAATCACTGTGGAAACAGAGGAAGTAATGATTAATTCTAACTGGAGGGTTTCAGAATGCTCCCAGAGATGATGACTTCTGAGCTGATTCTGACAGCTAGGGAAGGAGAGAGAGAGGAGAAGGAGGCATAGGAAAGAGAGGGTGTGTAATGATGGCTGCGCTAGACGGAGAAAAATGGCTAGAGGGATTAGAGAAGGGCGGTGGAAAAGCAGCCGTGGTGTGTGGGCAAAGACATGGGGAATGTTCCTGTAACCCCTACTACTCCAGTCCTTCACTGGGTTCCTAAGCATAGCCTCCCCTACAGGGCCTCAGCCTACCTGGTCAAACTTACTTCTCCCGAGGAGGGACCTTCAAGATTGTGGAGGAGTAAGATGTGGAGATCACCTTCCTCCCCACAAATACATCAATAATACATCTATATGTGGAACAACTACTGAGCACCTACTGAACGCTGGCAGAAAACCTCAGACTTCCCAAAAGGCAAGAAATTCCCCACGTACCTGGGTAGGGCAAAAAGGAAAACAGAGACAAAAGAATAGGGATGGGACCTGCACCTCGGGGAGGGAGCTGTGAAGGAGGAAAAGTTTCCACACACTAGGAAGTCCCTTCACTGGCAGAGATGGGGAGCGGGTGGGGGGGGAGCTTTGGGGCCACGGAGGAGAACGCAGCAACAGGGGTGCAGAGGGCAAAGCGGAGAGATTCCTGCACAGAGGATCGGTGCTGACCAGCACTCACCAGCCCGAGAGGCTTGTCTGCTCATCCGCCAGGACGGGTGGGGGCTGGGAGCTAAGGCTCCGGCTTCAGAGGTCGTATCCCAGGGAGAGGACGGGGGTTGGCTGCGTGAACACAGCCTGAAGGGGGCTAGTGCGCCACAGCTGGGCGGGAGGGAGTCCG